GAAAACCGATCTCTTTTATCATCTTTTTAATTTGCCTTTTTTGGCAATGAGTATAAGACCACTAGATTTTGGAAGGTCTGATCCACATTTGAATATATCAGATTTTGTCAGACTCAAGGACTTTATTGTTGTAGTATAGGTCACTGGACTTGTGAAAAGGCAAGTCATAATAAGCTTACTACGCCATGATTGTGTGTAGCGATGATTCCCTACAATTATTCTGACTATATAATGGACAGTTTTTTATGGATAAACTAAAAAATAAATTTCTGGTCTCTGATTATTCTGGAACGTGGTGCCCTCTTACTATTAGATTGAAATTCTGTTCTCCATAATAAGCCCACTGAACTAAAATTTCTAACTGGATACAGAGATGAAGCTTGGAGATACAGAAATCTGTAATGCTGAAACTTCTAATCCTTAAAGTTTATAAATATTATCAAAACTATTTACCCAAACAGTCATGAAGAAGTATTTATTTTTCATTAATTTTCTGTTTAAAATATGCCAATCACCCTCTAAAGAAATGCTAACAATGCTAGCTGACAAAACATTAACAACTAGGAGCAAAAGGTTGAAGTAAATAAATCCACACAGACATAAAAAAAGAAAAACTATTCTGAACATTAATATAAACAGACAACCTGACTAATAAACATAACTGATGAACACATTCCAAGGAACTGGATGATTTCCATAAATCTATAAAATTCATAATGAAGTTTAAAATGGCAGCAAAGGGTTGATTATAAATAATATAATAATATAAATGATACAAAGATTGATAAAGGTTTTCTCCAATAAGGATTGTCCCTTGTATGAATTAGTAAGGGCATACGGTCCTTTCCCTTGTGCAGTCTGCATGTGGATGGATTTAGGGGATGGTGACCAAACCCTACCTTAAGTAAGTAAGCAAATTAACCTCTTTAGAGGCACATGATCTGGTTGGTTATTATTAAAGTTCAAATGGTACCAATGATAGGCTTAAGGATTCTTTTGGTTTTACACAACCAATTCTGTGCGGTATAATAGAAAAGAAGTTGATGATGGCTTTTCCCCCCAAGAAACTAAAACCACACTAATGAAACAGTGATGAACTATGCAATGCAACGTGGCTGTGCAGACCCTAGCCTTTCATGCTTGCACAGAAATGTCAGATGCAAGTACTGAAGTCAAGTAGGTGTCATGGTGCATGTTTTGTCGTTTTCTCCCTTTGTTTGGTCCTGCAGAAGCCTATGAATTTTAACGAGTTAAAAAACAGGGGGCTGCCAGATTTTTGTACTTAACTTAATTACATAGACACCAAAAGGTATGCGAGTATCCTGTATTTCATTGTTTAATCAATGTAGGCCAGAATAGCCTCCCAGAGCTTAGTGTCCTCCAAGTACTTTGGAAGGCTAGGCCAAGTTAGAAAAAGCTGGGCTGAAAGCTGTTTGTTTAATTTTTCTTTGAAGTGGATTCTGAGATAGCTCCTCAAATCCAGCACGGACTTCAGCACCAGTTCTTATAATTTTGCACTTTTTCCTGCTATTAGTATGCATCTAATCTTCTTAATTTTACATCCAATTAATAGCTTCTTCTCTTCTCTTCTCTTCTCTTCTCTTCTCTTCTCTTCTCTTCTCTTCTCTTCTC